TAAAATCGGGCCACGGGTTACCGACGTTTTTCGGGTCACTTTTATGAAAATTTCTAGCATGAGTAATTTTACATCACACTCCCATTCGCGCTCTTTACGAAACTTCTTCGTTCAAATCTATGCTCCTGTCAATGTTCCAATCTTCTTTGAAAAATGAAATGGTCTTTCCTTTTAATCCCGATCAACAATCAAATACATTTTCTTGAATTATGAATAACACGAATGGATTGAAATATTTAATTAAATTATCTCAAAATAAACCTTCAATTTGGTGCAATACCGAAATTAGCTTGAATTCTTCATAACCTCTGAATAGTGGGTGACCCAATGGGACACGGTGTCTAGTATATATTAAAGAAAAGAAATACAGTTGTAGTTCATGCATCACTGATAAACTCAATAATGAAGACTTTTACCTGCCTTCCAACGTACGAAGATAACAACCCATGGCCTCTTGACGTTCTCTTTCTTTCTCCATCAGCTTCTTGCCTTGTTTTGTATGTCTTTTCCAAGGAGTCATGTTTTCTTGAGAATTTTTTCTATTGAACTTTGGTTCATATCTATAAAATAGCATTGTGAGAAACAATGACATTATACTCATATTTGTTTTCATTCTACAATTACTTTGAAATAATCGAATCCTGCATTATAATCAGTGTAAGTACAGATGACATAAACAGTGTATATCAAAAGAGGCTATGATCAACCTGTCTGTTAAGTTTGAAAAAAAAAATTTAGTAATAAAATCTTACACAATTGTGTTTATACATATAGCCCATCATATACGATAAGCAGTCATAACTGGTTTACTTCAAATTATTTTGTATAGCAACGAAACACACCTAATCATTTCTAAAACATCCTCCAATAGATACTCTTTCACAGGAAAAGTAAAACCTGGAATATTCAGCATGGGACAGTTTCCTGTGATAATAAACAGAAAAAAAAGAAGGTAAATACTGCTGTTGTTGTTGTTTTTCTGTCAATAACTGATTATTTCAAATCATCATCATCAAGCTTATTATTTGTAAAGACATGTCAAACATCAAAAGATATGTAAGTACGATAGTTTTTTGTATGCTACTATAAATAATGTAGATACAACAATTGGAATATGTGCTTCAGCTATATGCTTTTGTTTTTGACTTTCCTAATTCCCGATATTTATTTCGAATAAAAAAGATCTATGTATATAAAAGAAAGGGGTATCTATCTGTTAATTATTTATATTTTGTACCAACAACACTATTTAACATTTTATTACACAATCATTGAAAATAATCATAAAAAATCAATTATTAGAAACTACAAGTTTAATCTGATTTAATCTAACAATATTTGTTTGTTTACTGCTAAGCACAAAGCTGCACAGGGCAATTGGATGGATCACACCACAAATTTTAGTGTTATAAGCCCTTTAGCTTACCATTGAGTCAAGAATGGGGGGGATGAATTAATCTAAAAAACAACTGAAACACGGAGGTGATATCGAATTAAAAAGCTCAAATAACGTTTGGAAAAAGCATAACAAATTAAGAAACATAATTAACATAACTTCAGATATGAGGAAAAAATAACTTTCAAATTCAGTAAGTACCTAAAAACATGTTCTCTTCCAAAATTAAAGGGTAAACAGTTAAAACCCAGATTAAATACACCAAAAGACACAAGGTTAAGACATGTTGCATCAAACATTGTATCCTGTGGTGTATTTTTTTTAAATCCTGTTTTAAGTTGTTTATACTTTAAAAATTTTTAAGTAACAAATATTCATTTCCATAATAATCGGAAGTTATCTGTTCAAAAGAGTTAGCTTTCAGATAATACAACAAGAAAATGTTTAAAACTACAATGAAAATTTATTAGTCAATTATAGTGGTTATCAAAGATACACTCTGAAAGTAACAGTTGCTAATTTTGGGCTATCCTCATCAAACTTTTGAAAAACAGCAACTGTAAGCTTCAGTATTTTCAAAAGCATCGACATACGTGTACAGATTTATCCGAGATATTTAATTACATTCCAACAAAACTCGCTTAATAAATTTTACTTGATCACATGTGAAGGGCAACTGATAAGGTATTAGTTAAATCTGGAGATGTAAAAGAAAGGACAAGAAATAGTTTAAACAAAATAATTTTATTCTCTTGAATCAATGGTGAAGCCCAGTTTATAAAACCTGTAATGTAATAAATCTATAACCTAATGGAATGAATTAACAGTATTTGAAATACTCTTGTTATTAAACCAACCACTCGAAATATTTGTCAGAGAAGTTTGTTTTGAATTATAATGCTCCCCCACAGCTGAAAGGGCGAGTATGTTTGGTGGGATGGGGATTCAAACCCACAACCCGCAGATTGCGAGTCGAATGCCCTAACCACCTGGTTATGCCAACAGAGAAGTAGTACAAACTCTGAAATAGAGAAAAACAGGCAAGCAACCATATACCGAGTGTGTTATCTATGGAAATTACTACATAATACTTCTGTTTTATAACTTACCAAAATATTGGGAGAATTGCTCTGCATTCAACGTTGCACTCATGAGTATGACTTTCAAATCTTGTCGTTGTTTTAGTAGGTCTTTCAAAATTATTATCAAGAATTCAGAGTCTAAATCCCGTTCGTGTATTTCATCCAAAATAATGTGAGAAATTTTTGACAAATATCTAAGGAATGCAAAAATACTTTTGCATGAGAAAACAAAAAAGCCACAAAAATGTTCATATGTCTTTATCAAAAAAACTATTTTTGTGTACTTCAATCATAAATTATGAAAGACCTGGCTCATAGAAATTTTTTCCCGGTTCTTCAAATAATTTGGAAAAAAAAACAAACAATATTTTTGGTTAAAATTCATTAGTTATGACTTATGATTCTCTAGTTTGAGTATAAATTATATTTTTTGAACTTTTGTCTTACTCAAAATTAAAATGTGTTCAATATTAAAAAAAAGCATCATATTTACTTAATTATAACTTCTTCCTCAAATATTAAAAATTACGAAACCTGGATAACAACAAAGAAACTATATCAATTAAGATATTTAACAGAAAGTTAAGTTCCAGTATCCCCATTTGACTGGAAAAGCAGGTAAAATCTAAAATGTCGTCTCATGTCTGTAATGGTAATATTTATATCATATAAAAGTACACATAGATCCAAAAATTATACTTACAAATAATGACTGAATCTATCTTTCTATTTGCCTTATCAACAAATGATGAGGCTACATTTTTAATACAGTAATGACAATGAAACATGCTCAATAAGAAGACAGTTTTATTATATCACTGTTCCCGGGTTAACAGCAATATACAAAATCTTCAAAATGTTTAATGCCCAAAGATATTCAGGCTGATTGAAAAAAGACGAGTTCGTAGCTCCTTGAAATGAAGACTCGCATTCTCTGCTCATAACAGACTTCATAAGTTTTAACATAAATATGCTAGAAATTGAAGATAACAGTATGATATAAAAATTAAAACTTCTCATTATTAATTAATTAATTAAAGATTAAATACACTTTATATAGTAGTTTGAGTATATGATGATATATTTCGTACGTAACACACAGATCATGAACATACACTGGAAACCAAATTTTACTTACGGATCATTTTGCATTCTCTGAAGTAAGATTCCAGTTGTACAATATAAGATAGATCCCTTTTCTCTTGGTAATTTGCTGCAAAAAAAATGTTTAAATCAACATGTTCACCTCATGTGTAACACAAAAATACAAACTCCCCATACTTTAATGAACATATTATACCAGTTAAAAAAGTCTGAATATTACATCATTTATGTGGAGATAATTTATCTGAATCATTCTAAATTTAAAAAAAAATTATATATTTAGTTGTTTGGAAAACATCGGGTTTTGTTTGCGAACATTTTCTGGAATCTGAAAGTTTTGTTTGCGGACATTTTCTGAAATCTGATGTTCTATTTGAAAATAAACAAATCTGCTCAACAGGTTCAGGGTTCTTGTGGACTGATAGGGTTTTCTTTGTTCACCATGTTGATTTCAGAATTTTATCCAAGCTTATTTAATGTGTTCTAAGTCATACTTAACACAGAAATCGTTTATCTAGGTAAGCCTTTTTTTAATAAAAATACTCTAAGTAGAATTAGATGCAATGGTATAGATTTATTCTTTACTTCTTCCTTGAAAGGATACTTGGCCAGTCAATTGAGAAAGATCACAATCTTTGTGATGGCATTACAATGACACAATATGGTTGTTATACTAATGACAGACATTAAGAAAGCTAAAGACCCCCACCTCACTGTTCATTATTACATAGTTGGTTTATTTGTTGATACTTATTTATATCGTGAGTAATACATTATGTTTATTAAACAGGTTTTAACAAAAAAAATAAGATTCAAATTCACTGTGGACATGAAGTATTTACAGTACGAAGGAATTTTTCAAATACTTCTCGAGAAGTGTCCGCCTCTTTACATATCCATATTCTAGTATGTAGTTATCATGCTACCTAATGTAAGAAAGTTAAAAAACAGATAAACTAACATTAAACTAAATAAATAACATTACTTCTATACTTTATTCACTGCCAAAAGCATCTTTAAAAACTAGAATTACCCAGTAGTCTTATATTGTTAAATACCCAGTAGTCTTATATTGTTAAATACCCAGTAGTCTTATATTG